CAGACTGGGAGTGACTGGGAATGTACTGGGGAAACTGGGAACATGCTGGGGGCAAGTGGGAATGACTAGGGCCTTGCTGAGATAGACTGGGATCACCCTGGGAGTGACTAGGACTGGGAACACACTGGATGAAAGTGGGAAGAATCGGGAGCAACTAGGACCTTGCTGGGGTTAAATTGCATCATCTTAAGGGAATGACTGGGAGGGACTCGGTTCATACTGGGAACAACAGGGATACTGCAGGGAGTGAGGGGAAGTGACCAGGGTCATACTGGGAGCAACTGGGCTCATACTGGGAGTGACGAGGAAACTGGAAGCACATGGGGGCAAAAATTGGGCTCGTACTGGGAGTGCCAAGGAAAGTGGAAAAACATGGAGGGAGCAACTGGACTCATAGTGGGAGCAGTCACTCTCAGCCCTGGGACCTCCCAAAAACACCTCCCAGGTACCCCCAAGGTGACCCCAAGGGCCATCTGCAGCTCGGCTTTGGAGCCCTGCGAGCTCCAAACATTCCCCCCAAAAAACCCCAAACCCAGGCACCCCCGGGGATATTGGAGTCAAGCATCCGCTCCCTGAGCACTTGCGGGATGGGGGGCGATGGTCCCAGGGCTGTGGGGACTTCAGGGAGTGCCAGGGCCACAAGATTCCTTCTCTGCTCTTCTCTTGCTGCTCCCTGTGGCGGCTGTGCCTCTTCCTCCCCCTTCCCAAAGGCTGAACTGTGAGGGGAAAGGGGGCAAGGAAAGGGCGGAACCCTGAGGGGAAAGGAGTGTGGTCAAGGGGATGCACGGTCCTAAGAGGGCTTGGTTTGACCTAAACTCACCCAAAAGGGCCTCAGATACAGCCAAAATCCACCAGATTTGCCCTAAAATCAGCCAAAGGGGCCCTAAAATCCACCCTAAATCCACATGGTTTGGCCTAAAATCAGCCAAATGGGATTAAAATTATCCAAAGGGATCTAAAATCCAACCCAAATGGCCTAAAATTACCCCAAATGTTTTAAAAGCCACACAAAGTGTCTTAAAATCACCCGTAAATCTCTCAAATGCACCTAAAATCCACCCTGAAAGTACCTGGTTTTACCTACAATCACCCAAAGGTACCTAAAATCACCCAAAGGTACCTGAAACCAGCACAAGAAGGCCTAAAATCACCCTAAAAAGGAGTGGTTTCACATAAAATTCCCCAAAGAAGCCAAAAACCTACTCAAATAGGCCCAAAATCACAAAAATAAGGGACCTAAAATCACCCACACAGGACTAAGATATTCACCTATGTGGGCCCAGTTTGTCCTAAAATGACCCAAATGGGCCCAAACGCCCCCCACATGGGTCTAAAATCATCCAACGGGATCAAAAATCCCCCTTAAACCAGATTCAGCCTAAACTCAGCCAAAGGGGCCAAAAATCCACCTGAAAATGCTTGGAATGCCCGCAGGGGATCTGAAAGCCACCCTAAACCTGCCCAGTTTGTCCCAAAATCCCCCAGAGGGGCCAAGCCTGAGACCGAGCCAGGGATCGCCTCTGGGAGGGACCAGGGAGGGCTTGAGAGGGCTTGGGGCATTTGGGCCTCTTCTGGGCTTTAGGGAATTGTGTTGGGAGCTTAGGGGGAATTGTTGGGGATTTTTTAAAAAAATTATTAGGTTTTGGGGGAGTTGGGGAATTTTGGGGGTTTTTGTGGATCTTGGGGTGTTTTATTGGTGCTTTGGGAGGGGTGTTTTTCAGGGGATGTTCGGGGGCTAAGTGAAATTTTTTGCTTCTTTTTTTTTGATTTTGGAAGGTTTTACTGGGGTTTTGTGGATTTCTCTGAAATTTTGGAGGGTATTATTGGAATTTTTGGGGGATTTGGGGGGGATTTTATTCAAATTCTGGGGGTATTTAGTGGGATTCTTTGAGGATTTGGAACTTTTAGGAATTTTTTGTGAGTTTTTGGGATTTTTGTTTGGATTTGGGGAGTTTTGGGGTTTTTTTGGGTGTTGCCGGAATTTCTTTGGGTCTCTGGGTGATTTTGTGATACTTTGTGTGGGTTTGGGGACATTTTCGGGGGATTTGTGAGGTTTATTTGGGATTTTGGGGGGTTTGTTGATGTTTCAAGAGATTTTGTGGGCTTTTATTTGGATTCTAGGGTGTTCTAATGAGATTTTGTGAAATTTAATCGGGATTTCCTGGGTTTTATTAGGACTTTCTGGGTTTTACGGAGATTTTGGTTCCTCTCGGCCCTTCGCCACACCCAAGGACAACCCCAAAGCCCCCCATAACTCCAGTAAAACCTCCAAAAATTCAAATAAAACCCTCCAAAGCCCCAGAGAATCCCACAAAATCCCAGTCGAAACGCCTCCCAAAAACAAAAATGAAAAAAAACTCCCAAAAATGCCAATAAACACCCAAAAAAAACCCCAAAAAACCAACTTTTCCAAAACACGAATAAAATCCCCCAAAACCCAAAATCCCCCAAATACACAACACCACCCCTATAATTCTCTCCAAAACCCAATAATTTTCCCTAAATTAAAAAAAAAAAAAAAATCCCCCGAATCTAAAAAAAAAAGCCCCCTCAATCCCTACAGACCTCCCAAACAGCTCTCCAGAACCCCCCAGACTCACTGAGGGCTGTCCTGGATCAGCGGGCACCGGCTGGTGGAACAGGAGCCACTTCAGGGGCCCTCGGAGCTTTTTGGGGAGGGGGCACCATTACAGACCCCCCAAAAACAGGGAGACCCTGTTGTGCCCCCTCCCCCCAAAACCCCCAGACCGCAGTGCAGGCTGGGCCTGGGACTCCCCAGGACCCCAAATCTCCCCAGACCTCTCCCAGAAACCCCAACCCCCCCCCCCAGCCCCCCTCAAGGTTGGCCCAGGATCACCCTGGACCCCCAAACCCCCCCCCCCCCCCCCCACCCCCCCCCCCCACCCCTTGAGACCCCCCAGGACCCCCTTGAGAACTCCCAGATCCCAATCGGGCCCAGCCCAGGATGTCCCCTGAGACTCCCCAGACGCTTCCCAAGACCCCTCCCCCACGGTCCCCTCTTAGGACCCTCATCCCCCATTCCCCCACCTGTCCCGGCCCCTCCGCAGCTCCCGCAGCTCCGGCCTCTCCCAGCGCCTCCCGCAGGACCCGCCCGAGCCCGGGGCGCCCGGGGCCACCGGGCTCATGCCCGGCCCTGGGGTCAGGGGACGCCATTTCCG